TGTTGGGGGGATTTTAACAGTTAGAAAATATGGCCAGCCAGGAGGTTTGAGGTTAGCAGAAAAAAAAAATCAGTTGGCTCTCTAAGGTAAGGTAAGCATGAATGTTATTTTTCCGAAAGAAATAATGGTGCAGCTGGGCGTGTGTCGATTTATTTTCCTCTCAACAGCAGAGGGAGGTAGAGAGTAAAAAACGGTGTGTGCTGAGCCCGCAAGAACAATAGGCTCGTGCACAGGGGCCGCGATCGACACTCCCAGTAGCAGACTGTTCACATAAGTAGGAGGCAGAAAGACAAACCTCGGATCTAGAGGGAGATGAGATGCGTGAGTGAAGAAATTGTATTATTAAAACCTATCCATATTCAAAGTGGCTTTTTGTTGGGTGCCCATGGCTCACACCTGTCATTCTAGCTACTCAGGAGGCTGAGATGTGGGGAGCAGGGTTGGAAGCCAGCCAGGACAGGAAAGTCCATGAGACTCTTATCTCCAATGAACTACCCAAACCAGCCAGAGGTGGCGCTGTGGCTCAAGTGGTAGAGCACTAGCCATGAGCAAAAATAAAAAAGCTCAAGGACAGCACCTAGGTCTTGAGTTGCATGAGATCAAGCCCCTGGAGTAGCTGTTTCTGACCCATTTTGGCATATGTTTACTGTAAATATGGGGCCAGGCCTGAGATCTGACTTGGAGCCTTCGAGATCAATCAGTGTTCTCTAGACCTCAGGGTTGAGGGGGACAGAGGAAAATCAGGTGGGAACAGTGTCCAGAGAGAGAAGCAAAAGCAGAACAAAAGTGATGGCTCCAGAGTGCGCATGCCCCGGGGGTGCTGACACAGCCTCCCTTCCAGTCATGTCAGACCTGAGGAGCCACGCTGAAATATGGAGGTAACATGCTGCCACGAGAAGTCAAGATGACCGCTGGGCTTGTGGAATGACTGTATGACCCAGGCTCTGAAAGCACTGAGCCCTCACCTGAGGCAGCCATAGCTGCATTTCCTCTAAGTGATTCAGATGTGGAAGAACACCGGGGCCAACGGCTGCAGGCTGTATTTCCAGGGATCTGTGGGCCAGGGAACAGTTAAAGCTACTTCTCTTTGTATTATAGTTCTGTGTGTGTGTGTGTATGTGGGGGTACACATATCTATGCTATATAGTATTATATATAGTATGCATAGCTACACACACTAAATATGCATATATATATATATATCCTGTTGAAGTGTGTGTGTGTGTGTGTGTGTGTTAGTAAAGTCTGGTTATTAGCTTTCTACTGTGTTCATCTCTCTCATGTGTATGAGCTCACTTAAGAGAAATGAAAGAACGTTTAAGCCAAAACTATGAAAACTCTCATAGGCATATTCTGCCTAATAATTCAGATTTCTTGCCCTGGGCTAACCTTTCAGAATTGCCTATCTTGCAGTTACTTAGTTTTTTATCTGGGCCACTAGTCACAATGAAGGCTAACCTAACACCAGATAAAGAAACAGGTGTTTCTGAGCAGCTGTACTTGGAAAAAAATCCCAAGGAGAAACAGGAATGCTGTTGGAAAGGTAAGAGCAATGTGAGCGCGGCAGGCCCCCATGCATTCTGGGATGACTCCGCCTCTTTTCCCATGCTTGCTATTGAGGCATGCTAATATCTTAGCAGATCCTGCAAATTCACAGGAGTTTTATAACTTGAGAGGGAATCACTTTGGACCTTGTGCACTGTTAAGTGAGCACAGGTAAAAATATGTGCAGTCAACTTCTTGCACAATTCCATCCATTTTTATTTACCAGCTATTATAACAACTGAATCTATACTTTACACAAAAAGTACTTTAAAAACAGTAAAGATTACCCAAATCTACTGAATCTGGGGAAACACGGAGAGACTTAAACCTAACCACCTAAAACATCGAAGAGATGTACATTGTTCATTACCTAAAGCAAAACCCAATTATATACACTTGTAAGTATCCGACAACATAAAATAACAAACACCATCCCTGTATTGTGGGCAAAAGAAAATGTCTCAAGATAGGCTGATTATTTCACTAACAGCCAAACATTTGAAGAATTTAAAACATCCATTGTTTTTAAAATTACACCATCTGTTAGAGAATGTACAACATGCATTCATAATTATTTTTCTCACCCATGGTATATCTTTTAAATGCAATATTTAGGAAGTTTTAGGTTCATTTAGAAGCCCCCTCAACTCAATACTCTGGCACATATATTCTAGGTTACTGCTGTTGTGTTGATGACATTGGTCATATGAAAAATAATTGAAGTAATGTGGTTCATTAAGTAGAAAGGTCCCACTGGATACAGAAGCAAAGACAAGAAACAGGAAGAGACCAATTAGAGCTCTTGAGAAATACCTCCAGCACTTGTTGGTTAAATTGGAGATAAGGGTTGCACAGACTTTTCTGTCTGGGCTAGCTAGCTTTGAACCTCAATCCTCATGTCTCAGCCTCTTCAATAGCAAGGACTATAGGTATGAGCTACTGGCACCCAGCCTGAAACAATCATTACTTTATACTTTCTCTATGTATACTGTGTTCCAAATGCAAACCAGGATTCAAAATAATGCCTCTCCTCTTCCACTCATCTTTTGTTTCCAGAAATAACAAATACAGATTCCAATGCATTGGACCTGTAGCTGCATTGCTACCCTTATGCTCAAAATAACACAGGGATGAAGAAGGCAGAAAAACTTAGCCATCACTATAGGCACTGCCCTCCCTCCCTCCCCAAATAAACACACACTCCACGATCACTGCACAACTTTTTGCACGAATGTATTGTTATGGACTCAGTGCTGACTGGATTCAATGGGGTAGGTGAGTGGAGAGGGAAGGCCCAATCCCTTACATGCGTACAACAGCACTAAGAGATGATAAAGCTAGAAGGACAACTGTACTGAAAACATCAGGAAAGAATGTCAAGTTCACAGAATACAGTTTGATTATTTTAATGAACCCGTCAACATTCCACAATGTCTTAATTACACATAGGAAACTGGAATCATGAAACATCAGTAGAAACATACATTTCACTACTCAACGACGAGATGCATGGAAGTCACCGCGAATCATCTACTGCAGTCTCACAGCACAGAGATCCCTCGGACCTCACTGACCCTGTTTTAAAATGACATGTGCTAAGTGACAATGAAATATGGTAACACACAGGGGTGAAGATGAAGACTGAAAAAAAAAAGGCGGGAGGAAAAAATACAATACCCATGTGCAGTACAGATACACCCTGATACAGGCTAGGAAAGACTGATATACCTTTAAAGAAATGTACAAAAACACTCATGTTCTTAAACTCACATGGAAACATTTGGTTTTCTTTTTAAACATCAAAACTAAGGAAACAAGAGTATTTTATGATTACAAGCCATGGATTACCAACACTGCTATTTCTATATTAACTTACAACTTCTCACAATTTTGGGGGGGAAATACTACACAGAACAAAAACAAACATGCCACAATTTGTACATGTGTCTCCATGTGTGTCAATGTGTCTGGGTGTGCATGCAAGTACAATGAACCCATGCCATTGTGAGCACAGGCCCCAAATTTGGTTTGTCGGAAAATCTATTCTTGAAAATCAACTGCCAACTCAAGTCCCATAATTATAACTTAGCAAACTTCATTCACAGCGCAGTAAGATGGTATAAATGCTACATTTTCATATGTCAAGCAGTAGTGTCATTCATCCATTCATTGCATTAGTGCTAGATTGTTTCATAAGCTATCTAAATACTGGTGTGTAAGATTTAATACAAAAACATTTAAAAACGGTAGTATCAAGAGCAACATAATTCGCACCAGTAACAACACTCTCGTGTTTGGAAAGCAACATACACACTCATTATTGATCCTGCCAGCAAACTGCACCTGGAAATTAATGTTGGTGAGCAGGAAGATAGCATTAATGACATTTGCACTTAAACAGAACCCAAGACTAGCCAGAGAGGAGTTCCGTTCTAGTTTGTCAGGTAAATGGGAGCAAATATGAACTTTTGTTTTAGAAATTCTTCCTATAGAAGTATTTGGGCAAAAAGAAACATTAAAATGTCTCTCTTTATCACATTCAAGTCCACAAGAATCAGTATGCAACAATTCTACTGTGAAACACTAAAATAAACAACTCACATTAAAAAAAAAAAAAGAAAAACAACTGGATAGTCAGATCTGTTTTGTGAAGTCCTAGAAGAAAGTTTTGGCAGTCATGCCTGGTTCCCTGAGAGCTTCAATGCTCTGATTAAAGGCAAGTTTTGGTAAGAAGTTTGTTTTTCTTCCTTCCCACTCAAATCCCATTTGATGTCAACAGTTCTTTCATCTGAACATGGAATGTATTTTCACCTGAAAATGCGTGGCAGGTGAGAAAAACTACATTTTATTATACTTTAATTTTATTTAATTTTTTTTGTGCTGGTCAGTGGGGCTTGAACTTAGGGCCTGGGCTATGTCCTTAGCTTTTATCCCTCATGGTTGATACTCTAACACTGTGCCACACTTTCACTTCTGCTTTTTTGCTGGTAAACTGGAGATAAGAATTTCACTGACGTGCCTGCCCAGGCTGGCTTCAAACTGCAATCCTCAAGTCTCAACCTTCTGAGTATCTAGGATTGTAGGTGTGAGCCACCAATGCCCAACTTATTATACTTTGTAACAATTTACTTTCAACTTTCTGGAATAAAGCAAGAGAAAACATACCACACACAATAAGTCCATGTTTATCGTTTTCTAAATTCAGTGAGCCAATGATTTCCTATTTACCTTCAAAATGACCTGACACCTCCAAAATGCCTAGACCCATTAGAGAAAAACACAGCAGATCTGCACATTTCCCCAATGAAAGCCAGTCAATTTTATTCATTTAAAGTTTGCATGACAATTTAGGCCCAGGCACAAAGCTCTTTATAAAAGAAATAAAATGTATTCCAGAAGAGCTCATGAATTTTAAGAGATAAATTTCAGGCAAATGGATCCATTTCTTTGTGGACTTAGAAACTGACTAGATACGAAGTGTGTATCATAATGTCTGGAGAAATGCAGATGAAGGGGGAAAAGCATTTTGTTTTAATGCTTCACTGAACTTCTACAAAATACTTTCAAATAAGTTTGAACATGGAAATCTCCATCTCTTTCCCCTCCATCACAGTTTTGTTCTTTGCAAGTAATTAAGAATTGTACCTGTACCACTGCACAGAGAATAGGGAAGAGAGAGGTGGAGATTATGGCCATCCTCTTACAAGGAAACCCTCAAATATTTTTGAGCACAAAAGCCTTTTTGTAATTCAACATAATTAGATGCACAGTAGAGAACCAACCATTTTGGAGTAGAAACTTGAGAATTATAAACAATCCAAATCAAATACCCTTAACTTCTTAAACAAATGCATTATGCTCCTGGTATCTTACAAAAATCATTCCCATAGATGTGGAATCCAAGATCATACAATAGAAAATATGTGTTTTATAGTTCATATAAAAAATTTTAAATAAAAAAGGCTTTGATGATAGACAAGTAGAAATTTCTAGAATAAATTAATTTTTTAGGATGTAGAAATTTCTAGAATATATTACTTTTTTTTTTTTTTTTAGGCTGCCTGGCAGACAACATGTCTAAGTACCCTGGTTCCTGCCCTAGGCAAAGGCTAAAATTTTGCAGGCATTCTCTCTCCCATCATTGTTCAGAGACAACCAGATTAAGAAAAAACATAAGCTGGGAAAGGAGGTAAAAATTAAGCCCCAAAAGAAATTCTGCCAAATACAATATATCCTGCTTTAAAAAAAAAATGTTGAGAACATAAATCAAAGACAGTGGTAGGTACACATTGAGGAAATTGATGGGCTTGGTGATGAATAGCTTTTTAAATTAAATCAGTTCAAGCAATTGTGCAAATTAAAAATGGGGAAAGGAAGAAGAAAGAAACCTTAATAACCCTACAGATAAAAACTGTAAGATTCAGTCATTTCATGCCCCTCAATCTACCCTCCATGGGTATAGTTCTTCCAACCCCTGAATACGTTAAATATCAATTACTCACAGAATTCCAGTTCAGTGTGGACACTTTTTACCTGTTTGACTTAGATCTGAACACTGAGTTGCTTCAGGAAGATAATTGGAATGGTGCCTTATAACCAGCACTTAGCTTTCACCTATATAACTTAGGACGTTTTGCTCTCCTTCAAAACCCTGGAGGGGGTGTACTTCAAAAAAAAAAATGCTTTTGTGACATAGGTCTCTGATTCGGTCAACATTTGTCTAAGCAGGTCTGCAAACGCTCTGTCACCGGGAGAGGCAGTGTGTTGAGCAAACTGTCCTCCACTATCAGGCAGCTTCGCTTCAGAGACTGACAGCCTTCCAGCTCTGCAGGCAGCGTCTCCAGGTAATTACCAATGAGCTCCAGGTGGGTGAGGCTGGACAGCTCACCCACGCGAGGGGACAAATCCGTAAGGCTATTTCTCCCCAAAAGTAGACTCTGCAGCTTCTTGCACTGAAACAGACCATCTGGTAGCAATTCAATCTGAAAGGAAAAGAAGATGCTTGTGAAACCGGGATTTTTTTGGGGGTTTTTTGGTGTCAGTCCTGGGGCTTGAACTCAGGGCCTGGAAACTGTTTCTCAGCTTTTTTGCTCAAGGCTAAAGCACTACCACTTAAGCTACAACTCTGCTTCTGGCTTTTTGGCGGTTAATTGGAGATAAGACTATTACAGACTGTCCGGCCTAAGCTGGCTTTGAACTGTGATCCTCAGTTCTCAGCCTGAGTGGATAGGATTACAGGTGTGAGCCACCATGTCTGGCCAGAAACTGGTTTTAATGGTCTATGATAGTTTAAATACATTCATTTGTTTGTTTTTTGGGGGTCTAGTCATGGGGCCTGAACTCTGGGCCTGGGCGCTGTCCCTCAGCTCTTTAGCTCAAGACTAGCGCTCTACCACTTGAGCCACAGTGCCACTTCTGGCTTTTTTCTTTTTGCTTATGTGGTGCTGAGGAATCGAACCCAGGGCTTCAGGCATGCAAGGCAAATGCTCTACCACTGAGCCACCTTCCCAGCCCCCATTCATATGTTTTAAACTATCTTTTCCTCAAAAGCTTAGCTGCAGATTTACAGGAACACCCAGAACAATGGTGATGCATTTGAAGTTGACAGAAAAGAAGAAAAGTTAGAGGACGATTATCCTAGACAGTCAGGGTAGGCCAGCAATTTGGCTCTGCACTGACAAGCATTCCCTAAGGAAAATATACTTCCATACTTACTGTCCCTACAGTAAATAAACAAATGTGGAACTCAGGAGAATCATAATTATGCTTGAGTCCTAGAGCAGAAATAAATTACTCCCAAGAGCCCTCATGGAACGTTTACTGTAATGAGTAATGAGCAACTCTCCTCACAAACAGCTCACAACAGGCACGGGTTACTTCCTGCACAGGGTTTCTCAGGACCCACTGAACTGTGATTCTAGTTTGGGTGTTTATTTTTTTAATTTATTGTGCTGGTCCTGGGACTTTTCAGGCCCTGAGTGCTATCCCTGAGCTGTTTTGCTCAAGACTGGCACTCTATCACTTGAGCCACAGCTCCACTTCCAGCTTTTTAGTGGTATATTGGAGGTAGGAGTCTCACATACTTTCCTGCCCGGGCTGGCTTCGAGCTATGACCCTCAGATCTTAGCCTCCTGAGTAGCTAGGATTATAGGCGTGAGCCAGTTATCATCCAGCTGGTGTTCTGTTTTGTTTTGCTTTTTAAAAGAAGTCTGCAGAAGCAGAAACAGAAGTTACAATAATACATACTTGCACATTTTATTCCTTGCTCCATACACATGCCTGTTGAGCATTTACAATTCTTCCTGTATCTGCAAAGCTTCAGCTAATTCATAGAATTCAGAGAGGTAATTTTAAACATGATAAGCAGCCTGCAAATTGGGTCAACCTCTAAGGCAGCTCCATTTGACTGTTCTCCTACATAGTGACTGGCTGTCGGGTTTCTAAGGGGCCACAGTGCACAGGTGAAACAGGAGTTGTTAAGAGAAGACCGCCAACAAGGAAGAAAGCATGAACAATGGCCACCTTGTTCCTATGCTGATTGTACTCGAGTCGGTGTAGAGTGAGGTGGTGTGTACTCCTCGGCTCAGGAAGTGGCTCTGCTGGAAACAAGGTGGAAGTGCACTCCCATCAATGTCCTGTGCGGGTGTCAGCTCAGGCTAACTAGCACTGTCAAGTTTAAGGGTCAACCTCGCATGTCTCCCTCCAATGACTCAAACATGAACCTGACGGAAACACTTCCTGGTCCTCTCCATGCTGACTCCACCCTGCTACAAGATCTCTTCTCTTGTTACACCCAGGCACCCGACTGCCAAATCCTCTGCGCATGACCTCGGCCTTTTTTTCTATTTCCCTAAGACATGGTTCTCAGGGTGTATGGGTCACAGAACATCCCTCCTACAGGTTTTTATTTATTTAACAAATGTTCTCCCTTTTGGAGAAGCACAATGCACATTAAAGACTCTGAGAAGGCCTGCAGGAAAAATATGACTAAGGGGAAAAAAAAGAGCCCACACGTGTATTTAATGTGTGTGGGATTTTTCTTTTGTTTTGCTTTGCTTTGTTTTTGTTTTATTCTTTTTTTGTGGCAAACTCTATTCCATTTTGTGAAGGAAACTGTCCTGTGAGAAAACACCTGTCACCTGGGGACAGCCCAGCCCTGGCCTGTCTAGAGGACTTAACCTTGAACTTGGTAGAAAAGAGAGCTCACTTCCCACACACTAGACAAAGACCACCACCAATCCTTATGTCCTCAGCTCCCTTCCCTTAGGAAATGGGCCAAACAGATGCTGAGACTTGAACTTGGACATTGAGGCTGTCACAAAGAAATGGAGACTATGAGGAGCCGCTTTTGTACGTGGGCAAAAACTGCAATCATTTCCCAAGGCAGAACTGGTGCCATGCCAGGTGCTGGCAATGGTCAGTGCCATTGTTAGGCTAAATGACCCTCACCATCAGCTTTTGTGCTTGATCTTGGCTATGGTCCTCTCTGCTGTTTGGCTGACTTGGTGCTTGACTGTTCTCCAAATTTCATTTTCTAGCATTCTCCACTTACTTCCTCGGCAATACTACAAGATGCTCACCACCCTTGCAATCAATGTCACATCCAACTACTCAGCAAATACAATGTCCTATTTGCTAATTTTCACAAATATCTTAGTGTCTCTTACAGAAGCAGGAGAATCTCCAAGGTTAGATGATGGCTTGGAAGTATTTAAATCCTCCCATGAAACACAAGTCCTTAACTTCCTTTAGCAATATTCCTATTGACAACCTATGTGTGGACAAGTTTCAGGAACAAGATAGTCCCTTCTGACCTTCCAATGTCCATTCACTCAGCAACTACACAGACAAGACAAGAAATGAGGATCGTGCCCCTGCTTGTGGCAGCTCTACAATGCTTATGACTGCGCCCTCCCCCAAAGCCCTGCTCTCCATGGAAATCTTTCAGATGTTGAAACACCAATATTGAAGACCGCCACTTCCCATTCCTAGTCTAATCTGTTCACTTCCCTGGGGGCTGTCTTCTAAGTTCCAGCTCCTTCACAGCCTTGTAACCCAAGTTTCTTCACACTGCTGCTTTAAGTTCTGAGCAGAGTGGCCCTCACCCATTCACAGGTCCTGCTCATCAGCTGCGTCCTGAGGTTTCTTCACAACAACAGGTTTCTTCACAAAGATACCATGATGCTTCAGCTCTAAAGTACCTATCACCTAAGTTTTCACAAGCTGCAAAAGATCCTCCTTTACTCCTGCAGGGATGCACTCAACAAAGGATGTAGCTGATATTCTAACCTAATGTCTCGTGTGTGTGTGTGTGTGTGTGTGTGTGTGTGTGTGTGTGTGTGTGTGTGTGTGTGTGTGTGTGTGTGTGTGTGTGTGTGTGTGTGTGTGTGTGTGTGTGTGTGTCCTGGGGCTTGAACTCAGTGCTGTCCCTTAGCTTCTTTGCTCAAGGTCAACACACTACCACTTAAGCCACACCTCCACTTCTGGCTTTTTTTGGTGGGGAGGTTCAGAAAGATAAAGAGTCTCACAGGCTCTTCTGCCTGGGCTGTCTTCAAACAACAATCTTCAGGGCTCAGCCTCCTAAGGAGCTAGGATTACAGGTATAAGCCACCAACACTCAACTTATTGTCTTTAGACATGGTCCAGAAGTAAAAAACCTTGGTATCAAAAGACAAATGATCTTAAGATTATCCTTAAATTAACCAACCTGGCTAAAACATGTTTAATCCTATACATTCAGATAATATCTGCTGAGCTAACAATTTAATGAGCTATAACTTCAAAATAAAATTCAGTGAGTTAGGCACTGGTGGGTCACACCTGTAATCCTAGCTACTCAGAAGGCTGAGATCTGAGGATTATGGTTCAAAGCCAGCCCTGGCAGAAGACTTCATGAAACTCTTGTCGCTAATTAATCACAGAAAAGGCCTGAAATGGAGCTTTGGCTCAAGTAGTAGAGTGATAACCTTGAGCACAAAAGCTCAGAGACAGTGCCCAGGCCCGGAGTTTAAGCCCTAGGACTGGAAAATAAATAAAAAATAAAAAAATTCATCCACTGACTTAACTGTAACACAGCTTAGTGGAACCTATGCTTTTCAGCATAATTATTTGTACTACTAAGCAACTACATAATTAAAATGGCTAAGGATAAAACTCTAGATTTGTGGTTTTCAAAGTCTAGTCACCAGGCTATCAGCTATCATCAACTTCAATTTCACTTGAGTACTTTTCAGAATTGAAAATTCTTACATCCTTCCTATATTAGAGCACTACTCAATCATAATGGTCCAGCAAGCTGTGTTTTAACAAGCTCTTACAATAATTTAATGTGTACTGCTAGTATACATTGATCCCAAAGTAGTTCTTAAAACAGGCAGTCTAGCTAGGCACTAGTGGCTTATGCCTGTAATTCTAGCTACTTGGGAGGCTGAGATCTGAGGATGGCAGCTCAAAGCCAGCCTGGGCAGCAAAAGTAGAAACTCTTAACTTCAACTGACCACCAAAGCCAGATGGAGAGATGTAGCTTAAGTGGTAGAGCAAAAAAAAAAAAAAAGTATCCAGGCCCAGGACTGGCACCCCGCCATATTGATATATATACACATATATGTGTGTGTGTGTATAGTATAGCATATATTTATATATTTGGTATATATTTAGTATAGTATACATATTATATATTATATAATGAAACTTATGTGTACATTATGAGCTAATATAAAGAGAAATGAGTATTCAGTAGCCAACATCACATTCATGAATTATAGAAAGTCTAGAAGAGAATGCAGATTCAGTCAGAGCAGAAGAAAATAGCAGTGTCCCCATTTCCAGGAGCAGTAGGTCAGTCTCATCTCCCGGCAGACCTGACATCTGTCCCCGGCCTTCCATATGGATGTGGCCCTCATTCTGCTGCCCTTCAGACTAGCAAGAAGGTTTTTCTTTTTTTTCATTTTTCCTTATCCTTCACATTTTAGCCTAGCCACTCATTTTGTTTTTTCCTGCTTCAGTGAAGTTGCATGTTCCTTAACTTGGCGTTACTGTTGCAAATTATGGTTCAGTTTTAAGCACAGGATGCTGGAAAAAGCTTCTAAAAAGCCCTGGCATTGCATTATAGAGCCAGGCCTTTCATTTTGAAGCCTCTTTCCAGATATTCATGTAGATTTCAAGTCTTTGGGTTGTCTTAGTGTTTCACAAAAAGGATTTATAAATAATTCATAATCTCAGCATGTTGAAACAAAACTTATTTTTATATGGCAGATTTAGAAGGCTGAAAAGTTTTACCAAACTTCCTAACTACTCAAGTCTTTCCAAAACAAAAATGGAAGGTCTACCACAACTAATTTATTCGTTTAAAATACTTTAACTGTGATGTTTATGTAGAAAACAGGGCAAGAGAATAAAAGAACATTTGTTAAGCAATTATGATTTGCCAGGAACTATACCAACAATTTTTTTCATATCATCTTTGTGACAATTTGTAAGTTAAATTTTAAAGAGCTAGATTACCAACTGATGGCCAGGGCTAGGTGCCTTGTTGGCTCACACCTGTAATCCTAGTTACTCAAGAGGCTGAGATCTAAGAACTGCGCCAGCCCAGGCATAAAAAAGTCCACAAGACTCTTCAATTATTACCCTAAAAAGCCAGACGTAGGGCTGTGGTTCAAGTGGTAGAGTACTAACTTCAAGCAAAAAAGTTTAGGTATAGTACTCAGGCCTTGAGTTCAAGCCCAAAGAATGGCACACAAAAACCTGATGGTCAGGGTTTTGGTCATTTTTTCAAGGTCACTGTGGATAAAATGACCACTCAGCCCAGAGAACGCTTATAGGGCCTAAAGTCCTGTTCTCTTTCCCTATGTCACACACAACAGAGCCTCAGGGAGACAGACTGAACAGAAGGAAGAGGGGATTCACTTACATTGTTGTTTGTTATGGCAAAGTACTGCAAATTGCTCAGATACTGGATTTCTTCTGGAATGAAGGTCAAGTGATTATAGCTTAGATCCAAATAATGCAGTTTGGTGCATAGAAAAAGCTGCAAGGGCAGGTTCTCGATATTATTATGATCCAAAGAGAGCTGCTCCAGATTAGATAACGCCCCAATCTGGGCAGGAATATAAGCAATGTTGTTGTGCCACAACTTTAAGCAGGCAAGATTCTGAAGATGCTGAAAGCTAATGATCTCTTCCACCGTCTTCAGGTTATTTTCCTTTAGGTCTAACTCATGCAAGTTGTTCAGGCTGAAAATGGAGTGTGGGATACGTTCCAGGTCACAGCTGATGAGTTCGAGACTTTTCAGATTGACCATCTTTTTCAAGTTGTTCAACACCACCAGTTTGCTTCCCTCATTGTCGAGGGACAGTTTCTGCAGGGACGGCAGGAGGTCTGTCACCACCTGGGGGATGCGTGACAGGCTGCTCTTCAAGTAAAGGGTCCTCAGGTTTTTTAAGTCTTGGAAGCCCTCCAGTTGCATGGTACTCAACTGCTCAGGGAGAACACAGCCTGACAGATAAAGTTCCTTGAGATTCTTCAGGTGAAATACCCAACGTGGGATCTTCCCCATTTCTGTAAATTTCAGGCGGAGGATTTTTAAATTCTCCTCCAGAAAGGCCAGGGCCGGGTGGTCTACCACCAGAGATGAATGGTACACATGGAGTTCCTTGAGGTTGACGAGCTGGGAGACGGCGGAGGGCAGCTTGACCTCAGGGATGAGCTCCAGGCTGAGCACTTCCATTTCCGTTAACTCGAAGACGTTGTCTGGAAGACCATGGAGCATAAAGAGATGCAGCTCAATCTTATCCTGGGCGTTTTTCACAAGCTTGCTTTTCAGTTTCTCAACTGTCCATTCATTGTTGAGGTTGATCTGTTTGAGTTTGTTCTCGCTCACCTCTGACAAGAAGATGGAGAAGCGCTTGGAATAAAGAGGGTCATACTGATCGGCCAGGTGAAGGATGAAGGCAAAGTCATTCTTGACATCTGGGATATCACTGTAGTTGCTCTTTTCTCTTAGGGCCTCAAAGGAATATTGCTTCAAAGAACTCCTGAGCATCCACCACAAGCTATAGGATGAGGTGAGACCATAAAGTATGACCAAAATTACGTAAAAGGAAGCCAAGACCTTAAATATTTCTGCCAAGGAGTACACACACTGGTAGCGCTTGTATCCTGTAAAAGCCTGAACATCAATTGAGCAGTCAATTTCCAGAGTGATGTAGGTTAAAAAGTATGGGACGTAAGTTATAATCAGGAGAAACAAAATGACTTTGACTATAATCTGCTTCAGATACACCCGGTAGATGATGTCCTTCTGTTCCACATGCATACGGAATCTCTTCACTTTTTCAAAGATGGCTTTGGCCTGTTCGCCCTCCTTCTTGTCCAGGACGCTGGAAGTTGGGCTTTCTATAGAGCTGGCCGTCTCCAGGCCTGGCTGCGGGTAGGGCAAGGACTGCTTGCTGCAGTCAATGTCCGCAGAACACCCTGAGGTGGAAAGCATGGTTTTGGACTTGGAGGGCTTCAGGGGCCTCACAGACTGTTCAGCCACAGTTTCAGAAAGGGCGCGGGTGGTCCACGGAGAATCGAAGCACTTGTGAAGGATGGCCACGAAATGCTCCAATCGGGAACTGGTACTGGGGTAGTGAAGCCAAAAGTTGCTGCAGGCTGCGAAGATAAGAGTGTGCAAGAGCACCAGGTAGGGGAAAAACTTGGCAAACCAATGGAGCTGTCTCTCATAGCACACAGCATCGATGTAAGAGTACTGCTGTCGGTGGAGGTCATTCTGGATTCGGAGGGGGAGAGGAAGGGGCACCCCGGAATTAGAGGAAGTATTCACGCTGGCTTTCAGGATGTCCCAAGGCACGGCACAGTGATTGTCGAATTCCACTTTGCATGGAAGACAGCACAGAACTCTGCTCTGTGTGAGCTGGAGTGCTCCAGCCAGCACGGCCACCAGCAGCATGATGAGAGTGATGTAATACCAGAAGACATCCCACCACGGCTTTAGGATGTGGTAAGACGACTGGGCATCCGCCAGACATTTCAACTCTGTGAGTGTGATCATGACTTTCTCTTGTGCGAATACCCAACTAGATGAGAGAAAGAAAGCAAACAACATACTCAAGCATGCATTTACTCTAATGCCTGAACCCAAATGAGCTCTCCAGGTAGGATTTAAACTCAGGGGTCAAACCAAGAGGTAAGATCAAGGGTCATATGTCTTTTAGTTTCATTTGAACCACAGGACACTGTGAACATAAAATAAAAATCCCTCCAGTGGATGACCATTTGGTGAGAAATCCATACAGGATTTGAAGGCAATTAACTTAGTTACCTCCTAGATATCAACTCCAAGCTAGTTTACCAAAAAGCCAATAGTCAGGTTGTCTTCAAATGACATTGGAAAAATTCGGTCTTGTAGTCTAATTTCTTGTTTGTTTTTTAATTGCTTTTTTTTCTTTGTCTTTTCTTTTTTGGTACTAGGGATCCAACCCAGAATGTTGTACTTTCTATGCAAGTGCTCTGCCACTGAGCTACATCCCAGCCCTGTGCTATTTCTAACAGTCAATATTTCCCATCTTCTAAAAGTTCTGAATAAGCCTCCACTCTCATTTCACCCATGTCTGGAGCATCAATCTACAACCTAAGCATTGTTTCATAACTCAGGAAACCTCTCTTGAGTACTGATTTACAGAAGAATCCCATAGGCTTAGAAGAATCCATCCTTTCCCAAATTACTGCTTATATGCATTATCCCCTTCCCATGTCCAGCTCCCACTTTATAATTTAACCAATGTGTATTTAAAGCCTAGTAGTTTAAAGTTTGGAAATAACAGTAATGGCTCCAAAAGAAATAAGAAGGAAAAACTGTGTCAGAATATTCCCTAAGTACCCTGGTGGTTAATACTGTTGTGGCATTGTGTTAAAGGGATAAAAGCTTAAAGGAGTACTGCTATTGTTTCCTTTTCTTCAAAAAAAAGAAAGAAAGAAAGAAAAGGAAGGAAGGAAGGAAGGAAGGAAGGAAGGAAGGAAGGAAGGAAGGAAGGAAGGAAGGAAGGAAGGAAGGAAGGAAGGAAGGAAGGAAGGAAGGAAGGAAAGAAAGAAAGAAAGAAAGAAAGAAAGAACGAACGAACGAACACAGGACTGATTTTGTTTGTTTTCACTTTAGAAAATATTCCAGCAATCCTCTTAAGAATGTCTGTGTTGTCTTATAGCAGCTACTTAAAAAAAATTCCTAATTAGCAAAATCCAGACCACCAAGAGAGTAGGATAAAAGGAAATATTTGAAGCTTATAAAGTTTCTGATAAGCAAAAGGAGGACAAGGAATCATGAGAGCCTATTACACTTTTCTGGAAAGGCAGCTCTAACATAATCTTTGCCCCAGGGTGCCTCTTGGGCCTTCTTGAGTCTTTCCTAGACTTCAGTTTCTCTCTAAGTACCCTATCCCTGATAGAAACCCCAGGGAAGATATTTTGTTCCAGTAAGTCCTCCTCCTAGAGACAGCTATTCCTCCCTGAGGTACAGAAGCTCATTGCAGTAGCTGCTATCTGTTAATAAAGCATCTTCTTTTGTGCTAGTGATCCTCAACATATTTCTGACCATTTGGCCATCTATCTATCTTTATCTTTTCCTAGTTGTGGAATCCATGATTCTTGAGTATAAATCTTGGCCTGGAACACCACTTTCTGTCTGTATCCTCTCTGGGTATCGTGTCATACACGGGATTCCCTCTAGGACCTGTGACATGATTACAGAACTCCAAAGGGCTCCCTCCTCCAGCTCAGTGGGTCTGACTCTCAAGTCCTCCCGTTCTGCCTCGCCCCCATGGCGGTTAACCATAATTGTGTGTCGAGGCAGGACCAAAACCAAAAAACAAGAGGATTACATGAGATAAACAAACAATTCTGGACTGAAGATTCCAAAATACCATAAACGTAATGGGAAGAAGGAGACAATTTGGGTGGAAGAGCAGAAAACACTGCTAGATGAAGGAACATGCAGAAACATCGATGGATTTTGTTTGATGCATATGCATACTTACAGCTAACATATGATAGCTATTAGACTAAAACATTTATAACCTCTAGCCACATTAATAGATGAACCTAGGTAAAGGGGAGATGGTTCCATATGTCCCTGGTGAATCTACTGGTCAGTTCCAAGTTAAAGATGAAATGGCTACAGGTGCTGGCAGCTCACATTTATACTACCTACTAAGGAGGCTGAGATCATGATTCAAAGCTAGCCTGGACAGGAAAGTCATGAGATGCCTATCTCTAATTGAACACCAAAAAGCCAGAAGTGCAGGTATGTCTCAAGTGGTAGAGGCCTTGAGCAAAAACAAAAACAAAAACAAAAAACTTAGGGATAGTGCTCAGACCCTAGGACTGGCATAAATAAATAAATAAATAAGAAAACTATCAGGAGCTGCCTGCCAAAACCATTCCTACAGATGCTCACAGGAAATTGAGGACACTCACCTGAAACAAAAAATGACTAGGAGAATCTGAGAATGTATCTCTCTGTCCAACTACTTAATAGATGAAAGAATGTGTAAACTTGATTTTTGAGGTACAATTTTAGGTGGGCAGAAGATTTAGGAAGTCCTATTTTGATTCAGTTTGTTGGTGCAATATCACAGAATAGCCTGTTCTTTCAAACAGTTCAGTTCCCTGTCCCTCGCTAGGTCTTGATGAAAACAATGACAACATACAAGGTATTGTAAGGGAAGTGATTAAAAAATGATTAGGAGAGTAAAGTGGGTAATCTACAAGGGCTTTACCAGCTCTGACATCAGATTTTCCTCATCTTCTAGGGTCCTGAGTGCTGAGTTAATTTAAGAAACGCAACTGAAATCTTGGCCGAATAAAAACGAAGTTCAAACTGATAAAAGTACATGCCAGAGAATGAAGATTTATTCAACAAAGACTATCAGCCAACACTGACCAGAATAATGTACTTTAAATATTTATACTTACTATTATGGAAAGGAAATGAAGCAAATCAATCAGCTAGACTTCAATCAGGAGGTCTACACCTTTTGAAGTTTCTTAGACACACCATCTCTGAGTTCGTCTTCATTCTATGAGAAAGCATAAATATCATGAAAGATATTCAACATAGTTCTAATGGCTTCAGAGACACTCCACCAGGAGACAAGCTGTGCAGACAGACTTTACAGGAATACTTTAATCAAGGGGACACACAGTGACAAATGTATGGAAAAGATATCCATCAGCCCATACTCACTCCCTGAACTTCCTTTCAATTACAGAGACATCTATACAGAAATTTACATGAAATATACTTTAAGATCTTTTCGTGCGCAGCTTAGGAATGTGGCTGAAATTCCTTGAAATTATATTATTAAATACAGCAAGACTTGGCTGGGTTTTCTAACTTTAGTTTAATAAAAGCCATTCTCAGGGGGACTCCAATCATCTGTGGTAGTAAAACTATGTATATATTGATATGGTTGAATTGTAAGAAAAATTTGAAATATTAAAATACTTTTTAACTCTGTGTGTAAAAATAATATTTTTAGTTAGCACATGGAACCTAAGGGGAGGAGAGTCGCTAGGGAGGGTTTTTATGTGTCCCGGAGATACAGAGAAAAAAAATTATTAAGTACTTAAATAAGAATATTGGCCTCAAATTGTTTCTAGCTCATTTTCTTTAATAATAATCTTCTGGCCTTGTCATTTCAAATAGCAAAAATGTGCTCATGTCTGAAATTTACTTTGGGATTAATGAAGTCATATGCAAACCTGGCTTTCTGATTCATCTCTGTACTTTGTTTTGTAGTTATTTTTCAGGTTAGAAAGCAGTGTTACAATGTGAACTAACTCATAAGATGGCAGTAACATTATAAGACAGATGGCAGTAACATTATAAGACATTGTAAACACACGATATGACTGCATTTCTATGTAGCAAGCAGCATAAAGACATCTGCAGGCTGAGGTACAGCTCAGTGCTTGTTTAGCATGCACAACGTACTGAGTTCAATCCTTAGCATGAGGAAAATAAGACATCTGATGTGTGAAACATTTACACAGCCTTCCATAGTTTTGCATCTATAATGTGCCAGAAAAGAATTTACTGCATAATCCAGAATGCTAATTAGCCATCATGATAGTTCTTATACAAGAGTCCCTTAACTAGTACAAATGCATTTTCTGCTTTGTATTCAGCATCTCTACAAAAGAAAAGAAACATCAGCTTTCAACTAATGCCAATATTTAAAAATAATCGTAAGAAACTGCTGTGAACTCATCTATCAGAGGACCACAGCTAGATGCAAGTTTATACATCCATTCTATCTGAAAACTAATTGTAAAAACAAGTTTTGTGCCCCTGCCTCTAACCACCTAATTCAGGTTTCCATTGAGCTCCTTACCAATGAGAAGAAACTAAATCTATAATTCCTATAACTCTAATATTTGTTTTTTAATTTAAAAGAATATTTCATTGAGGGCTGGGAAGGTGGCTCAGTGGTAGAGCTCTTGCCTTGCATGCCTGAGGCCCTGGGTTCGATTCCTCAGCAACACATAAGCAAAAAGAAAAAAGCTGGAAGTGGCGCTGTGGCTCAAGTGGTAGAACATTAGCCTTGAGCTGAAGAGCTGAGGGACAGCACCCAGGCCCTGAGTTCAGTCCAAACGACCGGACCCAAAAAAAAAAAAAGAATATTTCATTTACATCAACTTGTTTCATACTTACAACAATCCACTGAGATATTTAGTACTCTTCTTCCCAGATTTTAAACATAGAAATAAGACAGACCCTAAGAATTTTCTTGCCTCAGGTAACAAAACAGGTAAGGAAAAAAAAAAACACGAAGAAATAAAATAATAACTGGGACTTCAGAACTAAAATTCTAAACCTTGTCTACACCAGACCACATGGTGTTTGTAAATCCAATTAGCTATGCTATGGTCTCAAGTTTCTCAACTGGAGAAAAAGAAAAGAAAAAGAAAAAAGTTGGAGAAAACCTATTTAGCTCTTTTCCAGACCATCTGCATTATAACTCAATTCTATTAGAATACTGAAAAACAAGGATGTACATGTAGTTTTCTGCAATGTCTCCAGCTACATAGTTATATAATGTAATCTATTTTCTTAGCTAATTATTTTTTCAACTAAATATCTTCTGCTCATCTGTCTAAATCTTAACATTTGAATACATACCCTCTGCATTTCAGGCATTCCTACATCTAACACAGCTAATTTTTCTTATTTTTTTTGGGGGGGGGGGTCCAGTCGTGGGGCCTGAACTCTGGGCCTGGGCGCTGTCCCTCAGCTCTTCAGCTCAAGGCTAGCACTCTACCACTTGAGCCACAGAGCCACTTCTGGCTTTTTTTTTTTTTTTTTTTTTGTATATGTGATGCTGGGAATCGAACCCAGGGCCTCAGGCATGCAAGGCAAGCACTCTACCACTGAGCCACCTTCCCAGCCCCTGCTAATTTTTCTAATTGAACTGCTTAATCAGAGTTAGAGCCATTATGCCATTTAATGTTGTCCTTGAATGCTCCAACTTTTTCCAGACAGTATTTCAGCAAACAAGGATCCCATCTAAATGAGATCTCAGTGTCTAATGTACAAATGCACTAAATTGGTTCAAAGAAAAATTATATTAAGGGTAACAGATTTTATGGTCCTAATCCCATTCTTTTAGCTTTTAAATCTCATTAAAAAGTCATAAAAGCTCTTCAAAGCAAACAAATTCATGGGACAATCTTATCCTAAAGTCTTTACAACTGGAACAAAATCCGTTAGGCATCTTTATTTCCCACTAGTCCTTACTTTACTTTGAAAGAATTTCCCAAAGAACCAGTGAAAAATTAAACAAATGATGGCCAGCTGGTATTTAGAGTCCTCATATTGAGAACTGGATAGTACTTCAAAGATTTTTGTCTCTGATCCCAGGCAAGCATTAAAAATCGGGGGAGGGAAGGACATTCTATATCAGTCTTACTGAAAACTGATTTTAAAATCATCTTACATCTCATTATCACATATAATGATGCTTCCAATCAAGAAGTTTCTTAGGTCGAAAATTTAAGTTCATGTCTTTGAACTCCCCCTCTTAGAAAACAATTTATCAATAGCTTTGATTAATTGCTTCTCTTCTTTATAAAAACCCATTTAAAGTACTCATCAGAAATATAAAAACAAGACCTTGGCATTTCTCATTTATTCACAAAGTCACTTAAATAGATTATACTAATGACCCTTTTTAATTCTTTTACATCTTATCAGCACAGAATTTTTTATAATAAACACCCTTTTCAAATTTAGCTGTAAGTTTGAAACCTAGAAAGGAACTAAGTATTTCTCTAACAGTTCTAACATTTCTCTAGCAACATCCATTAAAAAATCAAATGTCTTTTGACATTTGATTAGGTTGATGGTCTCAAGTATTTTGTCATAGAAGGAAAAATATAACATAGTTATTGCCAATTAAAATTCAATATTAATTAACAACATCAGATAGAGGTCCATGGAGAAGTGGAAGCCAGATGGATTCACAGCTGAATTCTACCTAAATTTAAGACCTTTAAAGGAGAACCAATGCTCCTCAAACTTTCCCATGAAATAGGAATGGAGAAATCATTTCTGAACTCATTCTATGAAGCTAGTATTATGCCCATTCCAAAACTAGATAGCGATACAACATCAAAAAGCAGAGAGCTGGTGGCTCATCCCCATCTGTAATGCTACTGAGGAGACTGAGATCTGAAGATCTCAATTCAAAGCCAGCCTGAGCAGTAAAGTCTCCAAAGTCTGTGAGACTCTTATCTACAATTACCAAAAAAAAGGCCAGAATTGGAAGTGTGACTCAAGTGGTAGAATGCTAACCTTCAGAAAAAAAGCTCAGGGAGCAGAGAGCAAGAGAGCAAGAAAGCAAGAGAGCAAGAGAGACAGACACACACACAGACAGACACAGACACACAGACACACAAATAGAGACAGAGACAGAGAGGAGAGAGAACTATAGGCCAATCTTTGATGAACAAATGCAAAAATCCTCAATAATATACTTGTTAAAATTCAACAACTAATCAAAAGATCATATTACAATTAAGTTAATTTCAAGTATACAAGGTTACTTCAACATATGTAAATCAAAACACATAATGCAGCATATAACAGAATCAAGGACAAGAATTATATGATCATCTCAATTGATATAGAAAAGGCCTTTGACAAAATTCAACATCCCTATATGATAAAAGCTCAGAAAAAAAGCTAGGAATAGAAGAACTGTACCTTAACCTAATAAAATCTATCTATGATAAACCTACAGGCAGCATCATACTAAATAGTGAAGAAATGAAATCATTTCCTCTAAATTCAGGAATAAGACAAAGGCATCCACTCTCTTCCAATCTAGAGGTAAGAAAAATAAATGAAAGGGACCAAAAAAGGGAAGGAGGAAGTCAAATTATCCCTATTTGCAGATGATATGATCCTATCCTAAAAAGATCCTAAAGCTTTCACCTCAAAACCCTTAAGAGCTGATAAACACTTTTGGCAATGTATCATTATATAGAAACCAACACACGGTAGCTTTTCTGTATACCAAAAATGAATGGGATAAGAAAGACATTAGAATTCCGTTTATAATTTTGCTGTAAACAAACAAACCTAGGAATAAACATAACCAAGAAGGTAAAAAGTCTCTACAATGCCAACTTTTCTGTCAATATAAACATGGGTAGCATTTTAACCTCCAGTAACAGTCCACTCACTCAGCTATAGCCACCTCTAACAGTACTAAACAGCATGTCAGCTCTCCACTGCCTACCTGCTCCAAAAGCCCGTTCTAGATGTTTTATGATGGTAGTTCCTCATTTCTAGCCACCCATTTTTGGTTTTGGTTACTTATTCTGGCCCCATACCACACCAAATCTCAGCAGCTAAATAGTAATTCACTATCTCCCATAATTCTATGGAAGAATCAACAGCCCTGATGGATAGATGTTAAAAGGTACACAGCCTGGTCCTTGGGCTGGCTGCAGCCCAACTTGGGCTTTTGACTTGGGCCTTGCCAGTCTCAACAGGTTCTTTAAAGCTTCCTCCCAACAAGGAGGCTAAACTCTAGGAGGAAATGTTTCAACCACAGTCCAGGAGAAGCTACAAACAGCTAAGGCTGAGTTCTGGAAAAACACTCTAGACAATTTCTACCACAATCTGTGGGTCAAAGATAGCAGGGAAGGCAAGATTTAAAGGCAAGGGAAGGGATTTTCTTCATGGGAGGAGCTGAAAGTATGTGTAATCATTTGCAGTACACTATAGATACCATTTAACTGGGTGGTACCATGTAAGTGAATTCCTTGAGAGTAAGTAATACTGTGAGTGAAAAACAATTTCTGTCCAGACGAGGAAGGATTATTAAACAAGGAAGAGTAAACGAGGACAGAGAAACAAGATCAGTGAGGTAAAGGAGAAGCAAATATTTCTGGAGCACATAAATCAGAAAGTTGAGGGAAGAAGCTGGTATTATTATGATATGATGGGCTCAAGGCATTGCTTAAGTGGCAGTGTACCAACCTAACAAGAGTAGACCCTGAATTCAGTATGCTAGTACCACCACCAGAATGAAAATAATAATATGGTGTGTGTGTGTGTGTGTGTGTGTGTGTGTGTGTGTGTGTGTGTGTGTGTGTGTGTGTGTGTGTGTGTGTGTGTGTGTGTGTGTGTGTGTATTTGGCAACTTCCCACACAAAGCTGTAGAGCAGTAATCAGTCTATTTAACAATTAAACAGGCCAGGCATTGGTGGTTCACACCTGTAATCCTAACTACTCATAAAATGAGATCTGAGGATAACTGTTTAAAGCCAGCCCAGACAGTAAATCCATGAGATTCTTATCTCCAATGAACCACCAAAAAAGCCAGAAATGGAGGTGTGGCTCATGTGGTAGATCTAAACATAAAAGCTCAGGGACAGTGGCCAGTACCTGAGTTCAAGCCCCAGGACTGGCACCAATAAATAAATAAAATATACATACATATGTTTTATATAGAGTGATAATATATGCCATATATTATCTATATCTATATCTATAGTCAGTTCTAATAACAATAGAAATGAGTTTACTCCAAATTAAAGGATTTTCATCTTCATCTATACAAAAGGAAGTGTATTCATAACGTAGCAGGTGATTACACCTAGACTTCATGTTCAGGGCTGGATATACTTGGGTGACATATGCTATATCCACAGTTCTGGAGAGCTGTGCTATTTAATTTAGTATGCACATTCATCTTCGTCACATCCATGTCACAAGCTCTTCCATAGAGCTAATTTAGGATTCATTAATTCCACAGCCATAAAAGAACCAGCCTTTGCAGGAAGTGCATGCTTGTCTCTGACTTGTCTACTCAACGAGAGCTTGGCCATCTTTTAGTTACAGACACATGGCAAACTGATTCTATGCTAACTTGCACAAAACCAAGAAGACAGTCATGACTCTCAAGTCTCCTATAGACATTTATTATAGTCTTTAGATTTTTAATGGTTAAAAAAGTGACAAAAAGGGATGGGAATGTGGCTTAGTGGTAGAGTGCTTACCTAACATGCATAAAGCCCTGGGTTTGATTCCTCAGTACCACACACAGAGAGAAAAAAAAAAAAAGACGGAAGTGGTGTTGTGGCTAAAGTGGTAGAGCACTAGCCTTGAGCAAAAGCAGCTCAGAGACAGTGCTCAGGCCCTGAGATCAAGCCCCAGGACTGGCAAAAAAAAAAAAGTTACAAATATATACACATACAGACACATTCAACACCCATAAAGAACAAGAAGATGACATTCCAATTAAAACACATATAAATTTCTGTTACACTGGCTTAAAAACATCAAAAGGATTTTTAATCAAAACATATGTAGGAACAGTAATCTCTTTCTGTATCTTTTTTTTTGTCCAACTTAATTGTAATAATCCTTACCATATGCTTAAAATTCAGAATATTCATCTTACCCTATGAATGCTGGTCCACTGGAAACTCTACAATTAGTTTTGACTTGAAGAATTCCTAAAGAGAAATCATAAACATACTGTCATATTTTATGTATCACAGGACTGTAAAATAAACTGTCCACCTAAATGATCCTAATATTCTTAACATGTATTCAACAAACAAAGGTTAACTTTAAAAAATAAAGTGAGTACTGTCAAAACTGACACCTTGTGATCTGTTACGGAAGGTGTAAACTAATACCTGAGAAGAGAAAGAAACCATGATGTGAGTGATACATTTAAACTCATCTCAATGGTAATTCCCAAGGGGAAAAACATGGGAGGAAAAAAATTAGCAGCTAGGGTAGTTTTTCCTTTCTGGTTTTGTGGATGTTTTCTTGTTATGTTAGTTTTATAAAATTAGAGCATTGTAAAATTCAATGGCACAGTATCAAGATATGTTTTTGCCCTTTATAGAGCATGGGCTTTCTTGATGTTAAAGTTCTCTAACCATTTTTTTAATTGTTCACTGATATTCATTAAAAATTTATTTTCCCCCCTGCTGTGTGCTCATCACAGTTCTGACCTGAGACTAAGTTGTGAGCAAGACAAGAAGATTCTAGCTCTAATGGTGCTAATATTCCAGTGCAACAGAAGAGATAATCAGTGGAGAAATAATACCAGTAGCAAATATTCAGAGAAGCTTGATGTGTAGAATAGCAAATGCAAGGAAGCTTTGGGGGGGGGGGTGTCTTGGGGTCTGGAATTTTGGAAGGAATGAGTGTTCACTTACTTTAAAATTGTAAGAGGGCTCAGTGGTAGAGCGCTTGCCTTGCATGCATGAGGCTCTGGGTTCAATTCCTCAGCACCACATAAGCAAAAAAGAAAAAACCGGAAGTGGCACTGTGGCTCAAGTGGTAGAGCACTAACCTTGAGCTGAAGAGCTGAGGGACAGTGCCCAGGCCCAGAGTTCAGGCCCCAGGACCGGACTCAAAAAAAAAAAAAATTAACTTCTACCCCCCAATACACACACATTACTAATACATTTCATTGAATTAGGCCAAACATTTTTTACTGTTTATTAACCAGTTTTATTCTTCCTTCCTACTTAAATGTATATAAACCAGAGGAAAATTTTTCTGAGAAGATAAGCATGTGGATCCCAGTGAAAGCTCTCATAATGCCTACTTGTAATCTCAAGATGAAGCCATTTCTGCAAAGTAACAGAAACAGCATCATATAAGCTCAGTGTTATATCTAGAATAAATCGCTCAGAAGCAATTTTAGCAACTCTTTTTTCCCCTCTTCAGCAGAACACAACAGTACCAAGCTGGAAGAATGAAATGTGAAAATACTAAATGGCGACGCGGTCTCAAAATAGAACAAATCATCCATATTAGGCAGGACAAAAAGGTCAAAGGCAGTCACAGCAACTCTGAGGACCAGCTGCTGAGCCTGACGGCTGCGGCTGTGCAGTACTCTCTGGCGTTACCAAACTTGCTCCAGCTATCCCAAAAAGCCACGTTCCCAGATAACCTTTAAAAAAAAAATGTCTTCTGGAAGATATGGAGATAACAAGTGCACTACTGAAAATTCCAGCATTCTACAACCTTTAAGAAACTTCCCAGTAAAGGGACATAGAAGAAAACCATCTCAAGTGACAGAGATAAGAAACAATCAGCTTTCTGGTGGGAAATCACAGGACCAAGGGCTTTTACTGTGAAAAGTGGACACATCCAGATACTCTAAACTTTATTCCAGTCGGGTAGAGATGGCAGAGGTTGACAAAACAGGACCCTCTGTAGTAGAAAGAACCAAGATAGTCACACAGTTTGGAAATATGAGGATGGGTTTCCATCCGTATGACTGTGTCTTATTCTGATAGGTACCCCCAAAAAAGAAAGATCACTTGAAGTGCTGGGGTCCAATCCCAGGGCCTCAATCATGCAAAGGCAAGTGCTGGTTCCCTGCAGATACCCACAATCCAAAGTCACAAATCTGTAATCCAAGTAGGTCAATGCAAAGTTCTGAGATGTCACTTCTTAAATCAGCTATGGTAGGATCTGCTGCAATGGAACACTCATTGATTCTACCTTGTTTGTGGCATTTAGGTTATGTAAAATCAAAACCCCACCAAGATGGAACATTCAAAACCAAGAATGTAAAGTAGGCACATCCCACTTCAGCTTCTGCTCCTCCCTACAGTCCTATAGAATGACCTTCATGACCTCTACTAGATGCTCAGACTGTCAGAAGGCTCTTTGGTCTATGCCCCTGGGACACATTTAGGGATAAACGTCTGACACTGTTTTCTGGTGTATGCTAAGCGACTGTTTCAAGTTCCCTTAAGGATCAGGCAGGATCTTATTTATCTGTGTTCCAGGGACCTATCCCCATATATCTTCCCAGGCTGGATTACAGAGTGTGTAAGTAACTGGAAGGAAATGTAAGGAATCTGGCTGTTAACTTCCTTCTGCTCAATTGAGAGCTCTAGAACTTGCATAAGAGTAAACTAGCAAGCTCCTTTGTTTCCCTTTCTGCATAGTGTTCTTGATTTCTTCTCTTACAGATGTTATAAATAAATAGTAAAAGAACAGAACAGTCTGAAGTGGTATTGAATCTTCAACCTGCCCAGAGCCACCTAAGGTGGTCCCATGTCTGATTTTGTTCCTATCTGTACCATGCATAATAAGTAGGTCATTGTTGAATGATGCACAGTCAGCTCAGGAACCTTCTGAAGACTCTGATAATAACATCGATTTGTTTTTCATTACCAACTTAGGAAGCAGGAATATGGGGAGGGCCTGGCTCCCAGGAAGATTTTGTGAGTAGAATTGGTAGCAAGGCTGGTGAACCAGGAAGGGTGAACCAGAGAAAGTGGCTGGGACAGAACTCTGAGTATTTTCATCACTCCACAGCAGGAAGAGATCAGAAGCAGAGACTAAGCCTTCACCCTTCAGGAAGAAGGAAGAAAAATTCATACTTGTCAACTTATCCACTAAACATGACATCTCACGAGTCTAAATGCAAAACTGCTGTCAATTCTCATATTTCAGCATGACTGGCTGCATTGTAATGATTTTGAGTCATTTCTGAATTAGTGATGGACCACTGGATAAAGGCCACAGCATTCCTAAATGACCTTATTATCTTACTGAATTATGATTTCACAATTATTCTGGTGCACAGGTTAGCCTGATAATGCAATTGGAAAAATGCTGAGATGGAAAAGCAAGTCATCATCCAAACAAGAAGAGTGCTCTCTCCCATGTTTAATTAGATAAATGTCCACTCTATTTTCCTCCAAGACCACCAATTCTAAGAAGGCAAGCACCTTTTTTTGTCTCCTGAAAGGCCTGCGCCTCCATAAATAATATAATTCCACAGTTCTATGAGCTATGATAAAATTGACAATCTCATATGTCTTTCTAAAGACTCAGTCTCATAAAACCAGTCATTTCTGATAGTAATCACTGTAAAGAACGCCATATCTGCTACAGCATACCTCGTACAATGACAAAAATCAAGTTGCCATGCATTGCAGATCAGCCTAGTATTTATTTAGTTTGAGCTAATTTTTGACCATGAAATACAAAGGTCTAATGTTCACTAAGTATTACATGACCATGAAATACAGATGTTTAAATGAACACTGCTACCCAACTTGTTCCCCCTAGTCACCCCAACTTTCATGCTCCACTAGCATTTAGGGAGCACTGATATTACATTGCTGTTAAATTACATTACAAATATATGGTTAAATGCTCCTAGGAGGTCTTGAATGTGCAGGACAGGCCTGGACACACAACAGAGTCTCAACCATCATCTGGGGAGTGAAAAGGATGATGGGAGACAGAAAAGCGCAGGTGAACATTTGCTGTGTGCTAGGTAAAGTGGGCCTTATGTGATCTCAACTCTGAGGGTGGAAAAAGCTGAGGATCAGATAAACTCTAAAACTTGTTCAAACTCATAAGCAAACCCAGAATTCACACCAGCTCTGACTAAGCCATCTGCTGCACGGCCTTTCCAAAAGCTATATTAAAAAGGAGTTTTATATAGAATGTGATGTCTCTCTCCTTTTGTCAAATCTATTATTCAGCTTGCAGACAAAAATAAGACGATTTAAAAATGAGGTCCACATTGCTTGCCTGGCTCATTGCTCAGTATTCATCTAGCAAAACAGAATTAGCAAGGGCTTCTTGAATTCTGCCTGCCTATTAAGTAATTAAGATTGACATGATAGATAGCCAGAGGAAGGATTCATCTAAGAATACTTAAACATCTCTGTACAGAGAAATACCGACTCACTGGTTTAATAACAAGATGAATAAACCAATTTTATCCGTATATAACATTTTACATGGCCTTTATTCCTAGTATACCTATTAAAATGCAGTTCCGATAAATTAATGCCATATCATCTAACTACAAATTTTTTTACAGGACTTTTTTTTTATTATTTTCTTGCTTTCTGGCTATGTCTGGCCTAAGCACTCACCTAAAGCATAAAGGTAGCGAGCCATATAACTGAAACTTAGTAATAGTGAAACAGCTGTTCTGCCTCTCTGTGGAGGGGAAAGGGAGGAACTGTGAGGAGATGTTCAAGCCAAGGAGAGTAACTAGCACTGATCCACAGGAAAGAATCAACAGCATGTCTCTTTCTAAGACACATTACCTCCAGGTTTGGCATTAGGAGATCTGCCAAAAGAAAGTGATGAGAGCCGGGCCCTGGTGGCTCACGCCTGTAATCCTAGCTACTCAGGAGGCTGAGATCTGAGGATCACAGTTCAAAGCCAGCTCGGGCAGGAAAAGTTCGTGAGACTCTTATCTCCAATAAACCACTCAGAAAACCAGAAGTGGTGCTGTGGCTCAAGTGGTAGAGCCCTAACCTTGAGCTGAAGAGCTGAAGGACAGCGCCCAGGCCCAGAGTTCAAGCCCTACAACCGACCAAAAAAAAAAAAAAAAACCAAGAAAGTTATGAGAAATAATCCAGCTTCTCTGGCTTATTCCTTAAAAGAGGCTCTTGGAAATTCCTTCCCAGGATTGCTAAGATTTGATCATCACCCACCCCCCCTA